CATTGGCAATTACATTGCAAATAATTGCACTGTTGACAAATTGTGCAGGGTAATCTACACTGTCATTGTCTGAACGTGATCGAAATGCTTCTTTTTGGGCTGGATTTCCTGGGGTGGAGAAAGGCCTACTTTGCTTCGTGTAAACTTAGATCTCCTATAACCTTTTATGCATGTACACACTATTGCTGTCATCACTGAGTTTTTCTTTTACTCACTGCAACTATTCTGATAATGAAAAAACTGAGAAGTCCACCAAATTCCAGAAAGTATTAAACTGATCCATGCCTTCTTTCTTATATGGATTCTGAGCAGTGTGTTACTGCCCATCTTCAAAAATGGGTACGAGAGAAACCGAGGCTTAGGGGTTTCTTGAACGTTTTCTTAGAAGACACCAAAAACGATGTCTGTGAAAATGCAGCTTTCAGTTGGTGAAAAATTCTGTTTGTTTGAAAAACTACTAACTACCAAAAATATGTAATTTACTTACCAGTGCTGCTGTAAATCAAGAGTCTTAGTCCTGCAGTGCTTCTCATCACAATAGCAGACGTCTCATTTTTCTGTGACTCCTTGCAGCGTTACGAGCGTGGCCTGGTTTTGATTCGGTTTCAGAGCCGGTCTGTGAATTAAATACAACTGCTTTTCTCTTTTTCTTTTTTTCCAAGTTAGCGTGAGCTGAACATATTAAATATTAGAAGAAATAAAGAATTACAATCAAGGTGCGAGGAATTCATTTTTTCCTTGGAATGTAATTTCAGTATTAAACTACCAGGAAAAAGCTATGAAAGGAATCACTGGTTTTTCCACTGCTTTGCACGTTGTAGAGTCATTTCAACATGTGTAATATGGGTGTCAAATGCTAATAAATCAGCTGTCAAATGCTATCAAATACTTGCACAGGTGTAAATGATCACATAAAATGCAAAGCACTGATCTGACACAAAAAATCTCTGATTACCATTTCTGTCTTCATCAGTTTTATGGAATTATTAAAAGAACCCCAGTCCAATAGGGAGCTTATTCCTCATTACCCAGGTTACCAGCTTCTTTTGGTCTCATTTCCTACTTTTAGCAAGTTTTTCTTTCCTTTTTATTCCCATTTCACATCAAGAGAGAAAATGCAACAACTTAAATGGTACTACTTTGGACTGATCTACTAACAAAAACATTATGTTTCATTATTGTAAGAATGATAGAGCTTTTTTTTTTTTTTTTTTCCCCAGCCAAAACATCTCTGTAAGTGCCCCAGCATCATCAACTGATGGCAGCACAGCTCTGGGAATAAACAGACTTTAGCTAATGGCAGGAATCGACAAGGAAAACATGAAACAGGTATTTCTTCTTCACAGACAGTGAAACATGATTGAAGTTAAATGCACATCCTACTAGCACTGGAGCCAGTTAAATTTTACTCCTCATGTCTATTAATTCATCTCTTTTTTTAAGAAAGTTCATCTAGTTTCATTTAGTATCCATGTTTTTCCCCTTTGTATTTGGCCACTTCTGTCTTGGTGGAAATGAAAACTCTGCAGGCACTGCATAGACTGCACCACAGGGCTGTGCCTATGTGGAGATTTTGTGACAAAGCTGCTTGATGTTTGCATTAGGCTGTGTGTTTGGAATGCACTCAATACTCCTGCTGTTAGAGATCCTATATTTTAATATTCATTATAAAGAACTGTAATGCAACCATTATTAGAAAAAAAACCAGCATTTACCCAGTGATTCAAAATCACCGAGTGTCTATACGTTGTTTTATTTCAGTCTTCTATGAAAAGTAAGTGTGTATATCCCATTGGCTGACTGGAGTCCATACAATTACATCAGAGATTGGCCAGTTTTGGGTAGCTCTGTATGAACTTCCCACCTCTCTGGCTGTTCCATCACCACCATCTCTCTGATTCCTCACCAGTCATTCCCAAATACTGGGCACCTACTCTTTCATTAGGGAGAGCAAGCGTATGTATGGCCTTACTTAACTGAGCCTGTTGTTTTTTAATATAAACATTTTTAGATAATGACCTTAAGCATTGAGGCTGTCCCAGCTCTGCTGGTGCACAGCTGTCTTTGTCTTAGAGGTAAGGTCTGCAATTAGCCATGCAGATAAACAGACAACATAACAGGAGCTATGAGACCCTAATAAGCATGAAGATGAGCAACTGTATTTTAAAGACAACAGAAACATTTCCTTGTCCTATAACTAAACTCTGTTGCAGCAGCCAAAGCAAAGAGCTGGAGAAAGGTATCCACAACCTTGTGAGCGCACATTTCAGCGCCACTTTTGTGAAACTGATACATGCATTTTCAAAGAAAGATATAGCATCAAATGTCATTCTAAAAAGCTTAAGTATAAAAGATCTAATATGTTTAGGGTGGTTTTGATGGTTCTCTGCTCATGTTCTGAATTTTGGATTATGTCAACAGTCACATAATGAAGATATAGTGAAATCTTACTGTATTTCTAAATGAATTCAGAATAATCATTCTTCTTATTTTAAAAAATGAGCTCCAGTAAGACTTTTTTCCCTTTCCTTTTATTACCACACTGCAATTTTCATGCAAAGGATGATCTATTAAGAACCCAATGTTAGCTGGCCATCAGAAGCAGAAATGGATGATGGTTTAATGGAAAGGGAGTGAGCTGCAGTATTTGTGCTGTGCTGAACTGAATCGGTTCATTTCAATTGATTTCTTTGAGGAACAGTTATCAAAGTGCAGTAATTCATAACTTTTCTATAAATTCAGAAATTAAAAAATACTTCCTGTTTTTTTCTCCTATCATCCCAACTTCAGATAGTCCAACACTCCCTTACTTGCAGATAGAACTAAAGTTAAAATTTTTATTAATAGTAATGTTTTAACACCTATAGTATGCACCACAAATAACTACAGCACGTGGCCCAGCTTAACAGAACTGCAGACCCCTCCCCATCTCGCTGCCAAAGCTCACAGCCACACAGGGCAATGGGGCTGCGCTGGGGCTGCGCTCTGACTGCACGCGCGCGCGCACACACACACACACACACACACACACACATACAGAGTGGTGGTGGAGCTCAGCTGAGGCCACAAAGGAAATTCATAATAATCTGGGTTAGCCCACGTTTTGTCATGTTACCAGAAATATTCTGTAAATAAATATATTAGTCGGCCACTTACTTGCAGATAGCGATTACTTAAACCAGCATTCAGCTTTTAATGCACTGCCATTCATTTGTAACAGCGAGCGTTCTCGCTGTGTATTACTATAGATCCTGGTTTTAAATTGAGATTGGTCACTATTGATTCTGTTGGTTTAATGATGACAGCAGGCTGCATTACACAAGATTCATAAAATTTCTGATATACATGAGCCATTATGGTGCCTGCATTGAGCTGGGATCACCTTGTGCCCCACTGCTACAGTGCCACGGAGCTGGGGGCTGTGCCCAGACCACATGGGTCCTATGCAGAGTGGGGTACTACCAGGAGGTGATAGGAAGCGAAAGAAAAAAAAAAAAAAAGAAATCTTCACTTTTCTAGGAACTAATCAGTCACAACTGGCCACAGCTGATGCTTGTTTGCGTCCTTAATACCTCCTAAGTGTTAGTTACAGGTGTGCTTGTTAGTTTCAGCTTGCAGCAGAAAGCTCATTGTCTTAGTTTGTCAGCATTTATCAGGAGCCACCTAATAGGACTTAACAAAAGATTCACTCTCTGAAGTTTATCAGTTCCTTAAATCTCATTTACCAGTACTTTGACATTTAAAACTATTCTGGGAAGGGCAAATTAGAAATCAATGATGTGCTCATCAACCCTGCATCAATGCAGCTCTAAGAAATGTAGATCAGTCACTGAGGGAGAAAATGCTATACATGCCTTTCTAGAGACCAAAGAAAAATGCAAAAATGTGAACAGTTCAAAGGCTGAAATATTTAGTTACATTAAGTCTTTCTGAAATGCAAGATCTTGTCAAAGATCTGTCTTCAAAATCTGCAATTCCAGCACTCATTCAGTCGATCAATCAGAAATGATGTAGTATCCAAGGAATGTTTTGTTTTTTAAAAAAGATTTAGAAATATGATCTACCAGAGGATGCTGATGGAATAGAAACTGAAATTAATAAATAATCACAGAATTCAGTTTCAGGTGCTGCAGCATTTTACTCACGCAAGCTTTTATTCGGTGCTGCAGCACTCACCATCTGCAGAGCTCCTCATATCATTCATTTTTGGTCATTTAATCACTGGCAGTATGATTAATGCAGTTATTAGAAAGCTTGCAGTACAACTAAATGGAATAAACCATGTTTGTGCATTATAAGACATTGTGAACTATTCTGGTAATTATTTTGATCACCTGTAAAATGGAGCTGGGCATGTTTTTTAAACTGAGATCTGGTTAAGCTAACAGGTTTCTCTGAGGGATCAAGAATCAAATAATTTTCTTCTGCTGTATTCTACAGCATGGCTTGAAACTACACATTCAAAGTTACAAAAGTCTGTTAAATGGGACTCTCTGAGAAGAAAAGCTAGTGATGAAAAACTGAAACTTTAACACTGTAGGTTATTTGTAATAATACACATATAGTACATTTCCCAGAGATCTACCTAGTTTTCTTTGTTTTGCTTTGTTTTATGTGACAGTGATTGAGTTCAGCGTGTACAGGACGTAAATATAAGCATGCATATATAAACTTGCATTTGTGAGTAAGTATTGTTCCTTTGACCCATGAATGAGAGTAGTGAATGAATAGGTGACTACTTACTTAATTCCTCTTGTCTCAGTCACCTATTTCATGAAAAGAATATTTCTGTTACCTGCAAAGTTTGGAATTTGTAACGTAAAATAATTAGGAAAATGTTTCATACCAACCCACCCTCTTTATTAAGTAATTTCTTCAAGTATTTTTAATAGTGCAAATTGTTGTTCTGCATTAGTACAATAACGATGGGAGTTCACAGACCAAAAATAAAAAATCTTAAAAGATTTCCAAAGTCAAACAAAAAAATTTTAATACTGTATTTTAGCAAGAACATTTTTAACAAAGAATGTGTACTTTAACTTAATATGGTACAACAGAGAAACCATACTTAAAAGTTTCCATTATCTAACACTCTACTGCATATTCATTTTTTCATCTTAAAAGACCAAAAGCCAAGCTGAACTGAGCATAAAAAAGCATCAATTATAATCCTCATATTACGTCAGCTATTAGGATTTAGCTCACACTTCTGAATTGGTCATCTAATGAAAGGACAATTTTTACATCATTCTTTTAAAAAATGTACACACATTTCTTTTTAAAACGTAATATATATCGAGTATCTGCTTCAGTAAACAAAGCTTAATTTATAAACACAATCGAAACAGCTCCATGTTGAACAGTTTCAGTGATAAACTGGACTTGTATGATGTACAGCCAGTGTGGACCTTTGTGGCTTAAAATCATTGTGCCATTGCTATACAGTAATAGCTACCTCCTTAGGAAAAAAACGAAACAAAACAAAACGAGTTCTTTGGGGGTGGGAAGGGAAATAATTCCTGTATGTGCTTAAAAATACTAAAACTCCTTTCTATCTCCGGGGACCTAAAAATGATCTGTTGCAACAGGCTTGGTTTGGTATGGTAAGCTTGTAAAAAGTCTCAATATTTCTTAATGACAATACGGCAGTTTTCGATGCAGCAACAGTAAATTGCTTGAAATTGTCCTTCAAGTTTCATGCTACAAATCCTGTTCCTCACACGGTACTGAAGGCATCAAAGGTTGGAAGGGACATTTTTCATGAACTATATAGTCTTCAAATAGTGATCATTATACATTTTTCAACAATAGGTGTTTCCTTCAGTACATGATGGTAGGTTTGATGTATGTTCTGTTTTCTGTAGGAAAAAAAAAAGAAGGAAAAAAGTCAATTACAGAGTTGCGCGTTTTAGAATTATTTGAAATGTAGGTGGATTTCCTTGATAATTTGTGGACTTTTTTTTTTTCTCGACACAAATGATCAGATCTACAAGTGATACAAACTGAGCTCAAAGTGAATATGTTTTTATGGAGAACGAGGCACCCAATGACAAAGTCCTGAGAGTCCCCAGTCAGCGCAGTTTGTGTCACGCAGGGCAGTGAGCCCACTGCCCACCTCCTCTCCTGAGCCGCTTGTTTCCTGGGCTGCTCCCAGCTGGCATTTGCTAGAAGAGGCTGTACATATTTTGATCTGCATTTTTGTCTTTTGTGACGTTTGCTTTTTAGCTGAGCACTGTCTCTTCTCAGAAGGCAGTTGGTGTTGTACTGCTTTCCTCCTAACACAGGGTAGTGGCATCAGCTTTACAACGTACCATTATTATATGAACAAAACCTAGGGAACAGTGTTAGAAAACAACTGCACTGCATTAAAAATATAATAGCAGTAAATTGATCTCTGTTTTTTGGAGAACTGTTATTTCACTCAGAAACCTTCACTTCTCTTTCTAAGTTATTTTTCTTTCTTTAGGGAAACAAGTAGAAAGCTACTTCCATCCTTTGTAAGACTATTCCTAGTTATACTGCCTATCAACTGTGATTTTTCACATTAAGCAATACTAAGTCCAGAGGAAAAATAAATATGCCCACAGAAACTACAGCTAAGACTACATCTAACAAGAATCCATATTCTTGTTCATTATACAATGAATCATGAATTCACCCAGCTAAATCTGCAAGTACTGATCTTGAAGATGATAAGCAAAATGATAATATTGAGAAGCATTTTGTATAATGTTGACATCTATCCCATTACTGTTTTACATATGCCAATACTGAGCACTCATAAGGAAAGAACAAGTATTGACCTGCTAACTGACACTGATCCTTGGGGCAATCTCAAACTTTGCCACATTTCAATTTCAAAATGCATTTCAGCTATAATATGAGTGATTTATCATTTAGCAGTAGCTGTCAAAGTAACCTCCTAGATAAAACAAAAACATCTGGAACCATAAACAGAGGAGAGCAGTAGCTGAATTTTAATCCAAATCCGACATGTTCACTTCATTAGGAACAGGAAACAGCTAATTAGTAATTGAATGTTTCGTGGTTTTAAGGAGGCTCAGACTCTCCAAACAGAGATGATTTAATATGTGTTCTGGATGTAAACAAGAATAAAGATCGGAAGAGCCAGGGACATAACATCTCTGGAGGAATGTTTGGGAGCATGGGAACCTCCAAAGAAATGACTAAAATTAGCTTCAGGCCTTTGGCTGATTAAAATTATTGTCTTAAGATTTACTGTGGCAAATATTAAAGCCTGGGGAGAGGGGTAAGCAGAAATGCACAGACTGAACATTGTTGTGCTTTTTTGTTTTCTGCTTTTCCTTCTGGTTATTAGGAAGTTCCTTCCCATAGCAGGCTGTAGGTGATGTAACTTACATTAACGCTGCGCTTCTAAATAAAGACAGCCACTGGCAAGACCTGCAGGTCAACGTGACTGCCCCCAAAAAGTCAGAAATACTCCTTATTGCCAAGCCAAAGGCTGACATTCTGCTGGACTGTGCTTCTAGTGAGTCAGTAATTTAATAGCTCTGGTGCTCTGCACAGCAGCAGTTGCAGCACGGAGCAGTGCTACTCTCTTTAGGGTCTGAGCTCAGGAGCCAGATTTACAAAATGTCCCTCTGCCTAAGCACCCATATTGGGTGGGACTTCTTATAGATGTGCTTACCATGTTCATATTATACCAGTGGAAGTCAGCAGGAATTAGGGATGTAGCTTGCTAAGTGGCCACAAGGCATCTGCTGCAGCTGTATTTGATGTTGGTACTTGTACAGATAGTGATGGTGACTGTGCATGTGTGCACATTTATGCTGTTCCATTTGCTGACAAGGTCTGGGCAAAGATAAGCATAGGCACGTTCCAAGTAAGAGCTGATTTACCAAAAGTGGGAGCAGTAAGGAAGGCTATGATGAAATCAGCCTCTGATCTTCCCTACAAATATTTTTAAAATAATTTAAAGTATTTACTCAATTTCTTAATAAAAAAGAAACAGTTTTTACAACCATGAACACAAGTCCTCTCTCACAGAAGGGAGCAAATTCACAACTGTTACAAAATTCTTCATTTAGCCACTTGAAAAACTACATAAACTGACAGGATTTAAGATAGATACAATACTTTGATTTTTTGCCCAACCTTTTGCAAATACTTCACCTAGTTAATCCCTGCCAAGTAAGATGTATTTGGAGATCAAATGTAACACTGATTCAGCTGGCTCTTCTCAAACACAGAGAGGGAAGGGAAGGTGTGAAGCAGCTGATACCATGCTCAGCTGGATGGCTGGGTCAGCAAAACCATGTGTTGGCTTTGGTCATTATACACATGAATAGATAGAGCTCGTCAGGCCATTAACAAGCTCTAGGAAACCGCAAAGCTGTGACTTCCTTCATGCTGCCCAGCCTGGCACCCTTCCTGCTGCCTATAGCCCTGGGAGCCCTGCCCTGCCTCCACCCTGGCTGGCATCGCAGGCTGCTTACTGACAGAGAGTCATAGCAGGAGACTGCAGAAAGAGAAGCAGTGAATTATTTGGACTACCATCATTAACTTGGCTTGTGATGTAAACCTGAAGCTTAAAAGTTAGCTGAAAGTCATGTTTTCTAATATAACATATTCATGTTTTTAAAGTATTTTATCTTTCAAATTATTGATCAAACTAAGCTAAGAAGTGGTTGTTAAGATAACTGTTGGCCCATGGACTATTTAAAGTCTGGAACAAGTCTAATTTTTTTCCCCTTTATTTCTTAAGGAGAGTTCAGTGGAGGTATCTGTAGCACTTTCGTAAGAGAGAAAGCAAATGCCAAACCTCAAGCCAAGAAATACTACTGATTAGTAAACAAAAAAACACATGGTTAGATATTTCCCTTTTCATAAAGCTCTCCATGAGATGCCAGAAGTCAAAATGTGTTTTTGTTGCTGCACAATAAACTGAACTCCATGGTGTTAACAACGTCACGCAGCAACCACCTATGAGAAATTACAGTGTCAGGAGCATCTGTGCTACCACTTCTACATGAATGACAACGTGATGCTGTCAAATTCATCTTTTTTAAAGAATATTCACCATCTCCTCAGTGTAGCTGACTGCAAGCTACATACCATTTTATAGCATTTTACGGTACTATACAGCAAAGATTTGAATAAATCTGTGTGCAATAAATGTATTCTTTTATTAGGTTTATCCCTTAATCAAATATTCATTTATGTGGGCTTCATTCTATTAAAAAATGAAATTATACAAAGGTGAGCAAAAGTGTAGATTTACAGTAGTTTAAAGCCTAATCTCATTCTCTAGGGGTAATATTGACAATATAAAAACTGTATAAATGATATTCCCTAACACTAAAATATGCTTATGAGCCCCCTGTGCATGTTATACTGCTTTACAACCTACAGTGAAATGCATGACTGGCTTAATAAGCAAGACATTTAGAAAGGATTTTTTCCCCTTCCCAATGTATAACAGGAGTAAAGATCTCACAATCTCACTGTAAGCCAGAGCCTGTGTTAATAATTGTAATTCTCCCCAGGATGAGGCTGTCTTCCCTGAGTTGTTGGTCCGGGGTGTACATGCATCTCTTGCACTTTCCTTTAGCAACAACACCATCATTTGTCTTTCTCTTTGTAGATTTTAATATCTGTATAATAGGACAAATCCAAAGCAATAATTATCATCTCCTTATTTATTCACATTTTTCTTGTTTCTTCATTTTCTCATCTTATTTTTCCCCTTGCTCTCAGGATAATTTGCACGCATATTTGAATTTCTGGAATGTTTTGTATGTCTGTGTTTTATCTTTAAATCAGTAATTCACCTGTATTTCTATAAGAAGTATTTTAAAACAAAATCTCCATGTGTACTCTCATAACTCACATTGAGAACTGTGCCCTGATAATGCTGGTGTGAAAATCCAGGCCAGGAAAGTGTGCAAGGTGGAGCCGGCCTGCTGTGATCTAACGGCACAGCTAGAATTTGGGATTGTTCAGATAATTTTAGCACACTTAGTTGCAGGAGAATGTCACTGGATTAAGGAAATATGCAATCTGCACCATAATGAGAGAACAAGGATAAATGTGTTGTATTGCTAACTATAAATTATTCATGCTACTTCTAAAACAAAGACAAGCCCTACACGTTGCAGGGAACAAGGACAGCAGAATCCCACTTTGCCAGTTTGGATCAAGAAGGAGTGGGGAGAGCTGCTAAAGATTGGGTAGGGCTGAGCCAGGGCTGTGTGCCTGCAGATGCTGGGGAGTAGCACGAGGGCGTTTGGTTGCCCAGCAGCTCCAGCTCTGCATGGTGGCTTGGAGAGTGGGAACCATGGCCTTGGTGACACAGGGACGGGGTTGGACATGAGCTGAGAAAAATGGAGCCAGCATTTTAGTTGAACCAGAGCCAGGTTGAGCTCTGAGTGCAGCAAAGATATAGAAAATACAATGCCAAGACAATAAAACTAACAGACAAAGTGGGGCTGGTTAGTTTGATTCAGTTGTTTTCTGTGCTGTGACACTCACAGAGGTATGTTTTTTCCCCAGCTTACTTCATGCTTAGGAATAGTGACTTGACTATGTCAAATATTTCCACATTCACATTAATAGATATAAAAACTTGTACTGAAAATAGGACTTCTAATGAGTAGCAATAGCCAAGGACAAGAATATGTTCACTGAATTCTAACTGTGCAGATGCTGGATTGCCACTGTCAGTGTGGGTAGGAAGGGAGTTAACACAGTAGTTCCTGCTGAGGAAATATCCAAGCCTGCTGACACTGAGTTATTGAATAAATGTTTGAGCCCCTTGTAAGAAGAGAAAGGTAAGGACCTTCACAGCCTAGTCTCCAAGGGAAACCTTTCCTCACCTTCTGTTTTCAGTAAATCACAACATCTCAGCCTCCTCCATTCTCATGAGTGCGTACCGAGACAGAGATTCAGAAAAAATATTGTGTAGAGTAACTACAGATAGCATGGAGAGCAAGATCCATGGCACTGTCACTCTGCAGCCCTTTTTGCACGCATTTGCATCACCAACAGCGAGCAATGCAGCCTGCACTGGGATCTCACCACAAGAAGCAGAGCTGCCTTTTGGTTAGCAACTCAAGGGACTGCTCTCCCTTGTTCCTGCACTGCCTGCATGGCTATGGGAACCTTGTCATTGGGTGCTCATTATTCCAGGTTAGAACAAGAGAGGTCTTCTAGAAAACACAAAATGACACAGCTCAAAGCAGCTACCCGAGGATCACTCATTCAGCCAGGACATGCATTAGAGACAGAGCACTGGGCAGGAGGAGGAAGAAAAGATCTAAGCCCTACAGAAGCCAGGGTAGGATTTGCTCACAAGCAAAATACCAGGCCTCTATTAATCACAGTTTCTGATCAAACGCTTCTGGTATGCTCTCATGTAAAAATTTCATTTTTTCTAGAGAAAGCAATACCAGGATAGCAGCACTGTCATTTCCAAGATGTGGACCTGTCTCCTGCAACAGAATAGCAGCAGCAGGGCTGGTTTCAGCGGATCACTGCATTTGAAGGCATATTTTGATAGAATAACCAAAGTCAAACCTTTTCAAAATCACTAACCTCCCTTCTTTTTTTTTTTTTCATCCTGCAACTTTTTTTTTTTTTTTTAAACATTAGGCTGGATTTAAAAATAGGTTGGTTATATGCGAATATTAAAAAATATATAGCTTGTTCTCTAAATAATAGAAATACAATTCTAGATTTCGACAGCCCTCCATCTTTGGCAAACAGATAAAAAAGTTATTCATGCCTACTGGCAGTTTCTGTGCTACCTCTCTGCTCGGCTATTTCGCAGACAAAACCAGCTGCAGCCCTCTGACTCTCCGCCACAGACCCATGCTTTCACCTCAGGAAAGTCCGTCCACCTACACTGCTGCCTCATTCTTGAAATTTAGAGTCTTTTAGCTTTTGTAAATTGTTATCAGCAAGTATTATGGTAATGTCTATTTTTTAGAATTTTAAGATAACATTGCTTTGCTGATTGTTCCAATATCCCGTAACAATGAAATATAGTAATACAAAAGTTAACTAAGGTATAAACATGCAAAAGGAGAAGTCTCCCTGCGATCATAAAATGATGTTATTTTCTGTTCAGCAGTTCATGTTACTGCTGTTCATGCTAATTAATTAAAGGAGCTGTTGCTGTAATGTGCAAACAGGGAATCTGAGAAACTGAGAGGGCTTTTAGGTCTCGGAGTGAAGTTAAGTCAATCTGGGCGCGGGCAATCAAATGTAATGAAATCACTTGTCAGTGCTAAGCTTGCAAAAACTGTGAAGTTTGACTAGGGAGTAAAAGGATTATAATTAGATTTCCAATAGGATAATAACTAAATGGCAGAAAGCAGTAAAGAGAAAATATTACTTTGTTAGCTAATGGTGCTGCTGTTCGGTTTTAGTTTTTATCAGCACACTTGTAGTTGTACTAATTTAATTTGCTTTTATCAGCAAAAATGCACTACTCGAGTGGTACTTGAATGTCATTTGCAAAAAACATTGATCTGAAGGTGCACTTAATGACACCCAGTATGTTTATTTTATGTGAAACGGAGATTGCGTGATAAAATGGTTGATGCAGTATCTTCCTGGCCCAAGAGTGAGTTATGGAAGCAAGAGCAGAAGGTATCAGCACATGCATTGCCTGCTCCTGCACCACTCAGCTATGCAGGGGCTGTCAGACTACAGCAACTATTTCTTTTCTATTTGTCAGCTAACAGGCCCCTCACAGATTGAGCTGTGCTGGACCAGAAGCTCAGGGGTATGGAGGACAGAGCTACAGACTGTAAAGTTTGAAAAACTTCTAGTCTTGTCAGCACAAAATTTCAGTTCAATTAATACACAGAGCATAGGGAAAATGAGTCTACTAAACGGAAGAGATTTATAACACATATTAGAATCTCAAAAAATGAACAGCTTGTGTTAATAAAATCATTTTAAGAAATGAGCATAAAATATGATATGACTTAATCACTGTGCAGTATTTTTGCAATTTTCCTTTAAACCACCTTAAGGAGATACTGGCAGTGAAACTAATTGAATTTCAAAGGAAAGGCACTGTGTGAATGATAGATTTCTGTCCAGCAGAGTTATTGACAACAAAAAAAGAAAGGTCTGCATTGACACTGAGGCTTTTTCCTGTGCACTAGAGAGAGATTCTGGATGCTTGGAAGCAGCTTTGCATTAGGGATGTGTGTTTTGACCCTTCCTTCTCCCAGGGTCCAAAAAACAAAGGCTGTAAATGAAGGGGCAGTGGAGGCAGTGTACTCAAACTGTTAAGGCTGCAGTGCAAGAGTTGCTGTCAAGTTTCAGAAACTGTAAATCAAAAGAAAACAGAATAAAAGATATTACAGTATCAGCATAAATAAAAATGGAGGAGATGATGCTAAGGAACAGAAACACTTTGAAACCTAGACTAGCTCTATAGAGAGATCTTAAAAAGCTTTTCTATCAGCTGAGAGTGCTTAGTGAAAGAACTGGATAAACTCATGACACATTTACATATCAACAGGATTACCAAACTGAAAGTGTCAGAGAATCCCATGCTGCCATTCATGGCTGTGGTGAAGACAATAAATGACATATTCTGCTTTCACAGCGGGGTACCAAATGCAGAGATATTGAACATAATCAGTGAGTGTCCAGGTCTCCCTTGATTCAGGTTTTTGACATGAAAAAAAGCTTTGTAACCCAAAGCCTTTTAAAACTGAGATTTAAGGGGGAAAAAAAAATCAAAACAAAAAAACACAAACAAACAAAACAAAAAACCTCTCTGAAATTAAAATCCTAAGATCACAGGGCATTCTTCTTTATCAGTAATACACAAGAAGTGAGAATAAATTCTGAGTCCTTCTGTAAGTAAATGGCTATTGCAAGTGGCTATGCATCACCCTTCTCACAGTTACTTACACTCTTTTTTAACAGAAGACAGATTTGAGCCAACTGTAACCTTTTTCTTTCTTTAAAAATGACAATTAACTTCCTTTTTATTCCAGTAGATTCTGCCCATGTACACCTTGGACTCACAGAATCTTTTCGGGAGAGCACCGAGCGCTTATCTCAGCAGATACTGTAAATAGCACTAGGAAACAGTAGGAATCATTTGCATTTCAAATTACAATACATGTCCCGAGTGCTTATCCAATATTTTGACTATTTCTGGCAGTAACAATTTTCAAACTGCAATACTTAGTGCACAACTCCAATCATATGTGTACATATACATGACTATAAATATGTTGTATTATATATGTATATATGTAATTCTCCTTTTCTGTTATGTGTAGCATATGAACCTAAAATCACAAAAAGCGACAGCAGTAAAAATATTTGAAAGCTTTCCTGTATAGATGACAGATGGACAACAGATGCGTACCAGAGGTATGCAAAGTCAAGCCTTTAACAGTTGACAAATGCTAAAGGTTATGTTTCTATCTCTATCTGCACTGGTTCTAGCAGTACCTAAGATAGAATTCTCTATCAGATATTCTCGTAATACCCTCTGGTATGTGCACATCTATTTAAATGCATACTTAAACATTTCTTTTAAGCCTTCTGGAACTTTTGTCTTGCTAAATTTGCCATCTTGTGATTTCCATCATCTACTGTTTATGTACTTTTTGAAAACATGTATGATCTTGAAAGGAAAGCAAGGATCGGAAGTGAAATATTTTAAAAAGATAAATCATTTGTAAGATCATTTTTTGACTAAGCCTGTATATCTGAGTATGATAAGTATCTAAGTATGAGTGTTTCCCACACCTCTGTTTAAACAAATACAATTATTGATCTTGTAAAGTAGCAATCTTGCTATACTTCTTTTCTGTATTGAGCAGGAAGACAAAATGAAGTTCCATAATTTACATTTATCTTAACACAGGAAAACAAGAGGTGCAAAAAACTATGCATTTCATTTTTTAATATGGCTTGTGATAAATGTGTATGTAATAGAAGGAGGTACATACTGCACCTTGCATTGCTGCACTGTCATGTTGGGTTCCGTTGTGTTCTATTTCCATATCTGGGATTCCGGCATCTGAAAGATGTGACACTGAAGATTAATGCATTCCCCTTTATCCTTCTCTCATGCATCTTTAGAAAAATATAGGAAACTAAGATGATCGGCAAGTTGCATAACCTGGCATAAAACATTTGGTCTTCACAGAATTTTCAGTAGTAAATCGTTTTCAGAATGTGCAAACATTACTGGTCTCACTGTGGATTATTTTTAATGTGCTTCACATTTGTCTGATGATTAGATAATAATCAACACATGATAATAATGTATCTATAAAATTCTTTTGGAGAATAAAGGCATCTGACATATGAAAAATAAAATGGAAATTAAACTGTGGTATTATTAAACCAAATTTACCTCTCAGGCAAATACCTGCAGAGTTAGAGAATTAGAAGATACAACCAGTACCAGTCAACATGTTTGCATCTATGTGCATGTGTTTGTATGAGTGTATTACTACAAACAGGGACAGTACCGTATCAGCTCAGGTTATTTAAGAGTACACCATCACAAAGGGAAACTACGCATGTAATATATTATGGGAAAGACTTCCAGGTACCTGAGAAGAGTTTTCCAAAACGGATTGTGCTGTTTTTTTCCAAGTTGAGAAGGAGTCTCATAATGAGATGTGCTCTTGAACTATTTAATGTCACACTGATAGTACCTCTGTCTGCAGTCCTTTGGGGTGGGGCTGAGGGCTTCAACACCCCAGGACGTTAAGACAACAGATGCCATTATCCACCTTGTGCCAACAAGGATTAGCATGAAGGGTATGTGATCTGAATCCAGGGTACCTCAAATCCTGGAGAAACATCTGCTTCCCTCGTAATACAGCACTTTGAATTTACAGTAGAAAAGAAAAAACAAAAAAACAAAAAAAAAACCCAAGAACACCTGAAGGGAGATGTGTGTAGTTTTGAAGTATTTCTGTGTAAAAGCTCATTCCTGATATTCTCAAATAGAGAATAACTGTACTGCTGCTTTCTCAGATCACTCAAGCTGGACAGTACCTGTTGCAAAGATGACATTTTGCTGGTCACACACAGCCTGACTGAGCTCTGTGTCAGAGCAGGGCAACTGATTCGAGTACGTGTATGAGTAGTGCAGTACATGGGTAATGCATGTGTATATGTACCTTAGGTATATATGTGTATATGAAATATAGTACTACATACACAGGCATCACATAAATATATTTGAGCAAATAAATTATTAATTTACATATTTTTTTCTTTAGAAAGTGCAGGTGACTGTTGTTAGGTAGTTTGAAGTTCAAGGCTCTGGACTAGAAACTTAAAAAGGTTCTCCCTTTTCAAACCTTTTAGAGTATACTTTGTGTGTACGCAAAATGACAAAGTCATCTGTAATAACAGCATCTGTTAAATGAGACAGAGCGTCAGAGTTAAATTAAAAATATTCAGAATAGCCCTTCACATTTTCTTGCCATAAAATTGTACCTGCAATTAAATTGTGGATTAAGATGCTAATGAGCTACCTGATTTGCATGTGCAATCAGATTAGCATGTAAATATCAGCTTTTTGCAGGCACCAACATATATATGACTACCTGAGTGTGCCTGCAAATCAAAATGTTAGCAGCCAGGCCGACAATAGCAGATGTAAAGACCTGTTAATCACATTGCTGGGGTGTTGGTCCCCTTCAATTTGTGGCTACCAGAACTGCTGAGTACTTGTAAATGTAGTGCGATGGCAGGTGCTTACCAGCAACAACAGCATCTGGGTGAGTGACCTTACTGAGTGTGAGGATTTTAGTTTTCATCTGACATTCATCACAGGGTGCTGGCTGTGCCTGGGGGATCTGAAACGGGCACTTTCCTGACCCAGGAGGGGTGGTACAAAAGGTCCCTGCTGGCTGTGCCCACTCAGCCTCTGCCTGGAGCCTGTCCCTTCACACGGCACAATGGCAAGCTGTATATCCATGCCTGAATCACCACCGTTCACTGTCAGAGTGTCAGAACAGCCTGCCAGTTCCTGGGTACAGTGATATGCTGGACTATAAAACCCAGCAGATGAGAATGCCTCTGAAAGATGTTGCTCTCATAGTTAAAGAGTTTATATCTCTTAGGTGCTCCAGCTAAATCACAACTCACAGCCCATTGCAGAGAGCTGCAGTGGCAGTTCAAACAGACAGGCTTGCCCTACCTTTAAAAAACAGCTTGGGTACCCTTGCAACTGAGATCAAAGGCCAAGTTAAACTGATTACTTTCACTCAGCAGTTTTTGCAGTCTGCTTCTGTTATTATGGCTCAGTTGCTAGCAGTAGCCAAACAAGCAAAGTTAATGTGAAGACTACATGACATACAAACATGGCAGAGACTGAATATAACTCTGATTCATAAGCCTCTGCAGAGACATCAGGATAGGCAAGATGCAAAGACCAACTTTAGCTGCAGAAACTGAAATTAATTAAAACTCAGCTAGGTTTAGTCTTAAAGATTCAAACCAACATTCTAAAGTTTGCTCAGAACCACTTTCAGCAGGATAGGTGAATGCTCCCACTACCCAGAACGTAATCAGCCTCTATGAAATTAACTGATCTGAATTTGTTTCACAAGAATATCTGGGAAGTATTCAAAAACCTTATCAGCTCATAAAGCTGATATATATTTAACAAACTTAATAGATCCTGAGGCTGAGCAAACTTCAGCCAAACAGCTTTTAAAATGAAGCTCAGCAGTTCTCAAAATGAATCTGCTGGGAGAAAAGAGATCAGAGAACCTTAGAAGGACCAAATTTCACATTGTCTTAGCTGGCACTGCAACAGATTTCTCTGGCAACGTATTCAGCACTTCTTGTCATGCCTGTGTAAACTGCTCCATGTTTCTCTTGTCGCAGACATATTTTTTTAATTCATAACCCAGAGCACACCGTCTGAAATAGATTTTTAATTATTTCAGGAAAGGGTCTTGCATTTTATTCTGGAATTTGCTTTATGCAATGTTCTAGTTTTTTAACTTAATTAAACATCATTTTACGTTAACTGTGAAAGGCCAACTAAGACATTACCATTTAACATCCTGAGACCGTCACCTGATGTGGCCTGTTTAAGCGCCTGTTCCACTTGTTCTCTTCTCTTAGATTCAAATTCCAAAGCTTCCTGCAATTTTCTCTTTGCCTTTTTTTCTTTCTTCAAGCGTTTCTGAATTGTTGCTGGAATGCAAATATATGATAAGAATGGCTGTTATAGCACAATTAATATATAACGGATAAAGTAAACTTGTTTCTTAATTTCTGATGTTCAAGAGACAAGTTCTAGATAAAGAAAAAAAAACTGGACACAAATGTGATATAAACAAGCAAAAACCAACCCCATACCCTGTTCTGAAACAACAGCTAGTCTGAAAGAACTTTCAATTGTGTTAAAGATCTTAAATCATATTCTCAGTCCGGAACATTGCCATCGATGCAAGTCTCCTGACTAGAACCCGGGTTTCAGAGCCAGCTCAGACCCTGAGAGGCTACTGAAAAGCTGAGTTAAATGGGTACCAACTGAAATGAAGATGAAATGCATAGAGAAAGGGTAGCTAATGAGGTATGTGAGTATATCTGCAGGCAAAAGCACTTTCACCTTTCATCACTAGTTCAAGAAAAAAAAGAGGAAACGAGAAAGAAAAGGAACAAAAGCGTTGAGCACATGGTGAGAATCTCTTGAGAGAAAATAAGGACAAACTTCCCAGGTAGAAAGGAGGTTGAAAATTAGCCTAAAATACAGGCATGTAAATCAAGAACTTTTTAATATTCTCTCCGTTACCAATATCTCCTTCTAACAAAAACACTCTTAATATCTGTAACTGGCTGATTGGACTAAAAATGGGTAACAATAACGTATTATAGCGCTTCTCTGCAGCTGTGTTAGTAGAGCTTGATGTTCTTTACAGTCATCTCATCTCCCTTCTAAAGATGGAAAGCAGGGAAGTGCCTTGACAAAGATCATCCACAGGTCACTGGTATAGCCCTGCAAGATTTGGCAGAAAATGGAAGTATTCCTGACTTCTGTTCCCAATCTCAGTTTTAATCACACAGAATCACAGAATCACAGAATCACCCGGGTTGGAAGGGACCTCAAGGATCATGTAGTTCCAACCCCCCTGCCTAGCAGGGCCACCAAACATACACATTCAGATCAGGTTGCCCAGGACCCCGTCCAACCTGGCCTTAAACACATCCAAGGACGGGGCATCCACAACCTCCCTGGGCAGCCCGTTCCAGGGCCTAACCACTCTCCTTGTATAGAACTTCCCCCTAACATCCAACCTAAATCTTCCCTCCTTCAACTTCGATCCATTTCCCCTAGTCCTGCTGTTGTCAGCCCTTTTGAAGAGTTTACTCCCCTCCTGGGTGTAGGTTCCCTTCAGGTATTGATAGGCTGCAATGAGGTCACCATGCAGCCTTCTCTTCTCCAGGCTGAACAAGCCCAACTCCCTCAGCCTGTCCTCATAGGGGAGGTGCTCCAGCCCCCTGATCATCTTAGTCGCCCTCCTCTGGACCCTTTCCAAAATCTCAATGTCTTTCTTGTACTGAGGGCTCCACACCTGCACACAGTACTCCAGATGGGGCCTCACAAGAGCCGAGTAGAGAGGGACGATCACCTCCCTGTCCCTGCTGACCACCCCTCTCCTGATGGAGCCCAGGATCCCATTTGCCTTTCGAGCTGCCAGAGCGCACTGCTGGCTCATGTTCAGTCTCTCGTCCATCAGGACCCCCAGGTCCTTCTCTGCCGAGCTGCTCTCAAGGACCACTCCTCCCAGCCTGTACGGGTGCCTGGGGTTCTTCCGGCCCAAATGCAAAACCTTGCACTTTGCCGTGTTAAACCTCATTAGGTTCACCCGAGCCCAGCCCTCCAGCCTGTCGAGGTCCCTCTGAATGGCATCCCTTCCTTCCACCGTATCAACCGCACCACTCAGCTTGGTGTCGTCAGCAAACTTGCTGAGGGTGCACTCAATTCCCTCATCGATGTCATTAATAAAGATGTTAAAGAGCACCGGTCCCAAGACAGACCCTTGGGGGACACCACTTGTTACCGGCCTCCACGTGGACATAGAGCCATTGACCACCACCCTCTGTCTGCGGCCTTTCAACCAATTGCTTATCCATCGGGTCGTCCACCCATCAAATCCACTTCCCTCCAATTTGGAGATGAGGATGTGGTGGGGGACCATGTCAAAGGCCTTGCTCAGGTCCAGGTAAATGACATCGGTCGCCTTCCCTTCGTCCACCAATGCCGTCACTCCATCATAGAAGGCCACAAGATTAGTTAGGCATGACCTTCCTTTGGTGAAGCCGTGCTGGCTGTCTCGGATCACATGCTCATTCTTTATGTGATCGAGCATGTTGTCCAGGAGGATCTGTTCCATGATCTTCCCAGGCACGGATGTGAGACTCACCGGCCTGTAGTTCCCCGGGTCCTCCCTGCTCCCCTTCTTGTATATGGGAGTGACATGACCCTTCCTCCAGTAAAGCCCAACTATAAATAAAATTAGACCTGTAACTAGAAAACTATACAGCATTAATTGTAGCCAGATGATTCACATCATCACTGGGAACTGCTGACACTGCCTAAGGTTGTATTCCCTCATCTACATAAATTCAGGCAATAAAACATACCTTTTCCTTTTAAAACCCTGAATCTTAATTCCGTGTTTAACCTTATCTTTCACCGGCACCAGGTTACCATTTCTTTTGTTTGATGTACTACTGAACCATCTAGTGATGGTACTACAAAAGGTAGGTTGAACTACGAGACAAAAAAAAATTTGAGCTTAAACATAAATACCCCGTTTCAAAATGACGTTTACTAGTCTATATTCTAGCAAATGCTCTTTACAGGTATTGTTAAAATGAAAGGTGAATTTACGTTTGCAGTATTTTGCAATTCATTTTATTTGTCTGTGTCACCTGTGTGAAAATATCTGTGAATTTTAAATCACAATATTGTGAGAAAAATTGCTAAAAAACATGGAGATGTAACTTTCTGTGCTGACTTATTTATCTAACTCTTATCAATTTTTACAGACCTGAATTTGTGATTGCACCAGTCAGGGGAATAAATGGATACCACTGCATGAGCGATCTCTGAGAGATTTAATAAATTATGAATGCCAGAATGCAATCTGGAAACAAAACTTTGGAAAATTGAGTAACCCATGTGGAAAAGTCTATCTGTGACTTTCTATAATAATGTGGATGTTGTGATGACCTGAGAAACAAACAGTTCTGCAGATACTGATTACTGGAGAGATTCTTCAAGCCATAAGTCAACCAAATCTGTGAAGGACTTAAGATTTTTGTTGAGTTAAATATGACTGTGGAGGTATGTAGTGTTTTGTCTGCCTACACCGAGATTAACTTTTGTTTTACAGAAATACAGCTGTCTCATCTGCTCTTACACTGGAGTGATGCAATGATTCTGAACACCCCCTGCACTTTAACAACTTCTGTAGTATTCACTCTCTCCTCACAACTAGACTTAAAGTGTCCTTTGTCAGCTCTTAGCGAGCCTTGGTGCCGCAAGCAGGTTCCTAACCTAATTTCAATTCAAAACACACAGGAAGAGAGTAGTAGGCACTTACATCTGTAGCCTTATCTAGCTTTATCTTTCCGATTTCATGGATGTAATCCAGAAGTGGCTTTTGGTGTATGAAGAACTATTTCTCTCCTTTTGATGCAGATTAGAATTTTAAAAAGAAGACTGCCTGCTTTACAATATCACAGTGAAAAATTTAGATTTACCAATTTAATTGCCTATTATTATCAAAAGCTTCTAAAGAGTCATGGTTCTGTCTTAGAAGGCCTCATGTTAGGAAAGCTTTCGTATCTCACTCTTCTGATGGAAAAAGAAAACTATCTAGGTTTATTTGTTTCAGATCTTGAATTACAAGAGTTGCCTACCTAAGTGCAACTATTTGGTTGCCCTGAAGTTGTCTAGAGGACAAACTAGCTGATTTAAATACTCCAATTACAGAACATATTATCTTTCTCAAAATAAGACTGATCCTCAATGCTTGGAGGATAATAGCAGGAAACAAAAGAAATCAAAGCTGTCAAATGAAGCAATCGGGCTGGGAATATTACCACACAGACGGTGTGGTAATAATGCATGTGAAAGCCATGAAACTGAATCAGCTTTCCCTACAGAACCAGCCAAAATGCTCTGCGGCCAGTTGCCCTCCAGGAAATAATCCTTCAGTCACTGTTCTGCCTGCTTACAGAAACGTGTGCTTCATTCTGTTTTTATTAAATTTAAATCTTTCATTACCAGTGCTAGTCCACTGCTACATTACACTGAAGTATGAATGTCAGTTAACTCAGAGTCCTCAGTAGTTCCAGCTGGAAATGCCAAAGGGTTACACATTTAATAGGTATCTAAACTCCATTTTTCATTCACTCACCTCTGCTTTGCAGCTCAGCTGTAAGTTGCCTTTCCAAGCTCTCTCTGAGTTCTCTCTCTCTACAAAGCTCCATCTTCAACTCTTTCTTTTCCTGCTGTATCTGCTTTTCCTGGACTCTGGCATTGTCCACAGCCACTTTCAGCAGGCCCTAAAACACATGCAAATGTGAGACCTGAAAATACCGTTTTGTTTCAGCAGTGACAAAATTTATCCATTTATTTATTTTACTCTCTTTAGAAAAAAACCACCAATAACAAAAACTCCGGAGCCTATAGACAAGGAATGCACCTGGGCATTTAAAGTGCCTAAATGTTAAATATGAGCAATTTTGTGGTATAGCTTTTGCACATTCATCCTACTGGTATGGTTTATTACAAATGGAATACCATATCATTGCTGACCTTGGTCAACTGCAGGGAAAAGCAAAGGAGAAATAATGAGACTGGTGAATTTTAATATGACCGTTATTGCCAACTATTAAGTCAAATAGACAATGCATAAAATGTTTCCACAATCGATAATGCCGGAGAATGAAAACCTAGGCATTACATTAAATTAAAAAAAAAAATAAAAATTAGAATTGCAGCTACAAAATAGTTTCTAACTTTCTAAAAGAGTGGCAGAAGAAATACATTTTATCTGTTATAAATAGTCTGGCCCTATAGAGAATAACTTACCTGAATGTTGGTTAATAGTGTTTCAACTGATGAAAGACCATCAGCAAAAAGAAATGGCGCTGGAAATCCAGGAGGCAAGGCCTGTCCAGCCAGTTGGACTTTATCTAAGGTTGGTTTCATTATTGGAATGGCAATCTGGACCTCTTCTGTAAAGACAGGTTTTAAAAGCAAGATCAGAAACTATTGGAAATATGGAGGTCAAAGTGATTTTTAGAAACTGTTTCCCTGGAAGTCAAAATACAAGCATAGTAGTAAAGCTGATACGTTTTGGTCTTTGGGCAGCCATTGTTATTGCTAAGGCAAGTTTGCAAAACAATACAGAGCAATAATAAATATACTTATGGCTATAGCATCGCTCTAATAGAGTATAGGCCATTATATCTCAAATTCTACAAAATTATACTACCGAATTATAACAGTATTATGCAGTTCATTAAACCTGAATGACTTTTCTTCATTCTATCATGTTTGCTATTCTGCGATGAGCATTTTTAGTCACTATAACCTTGAAAAAATTCTAATCAAGAAATGTACCACATCTCTTTATCCTTTTTAGCATTATCCTTCCCATACTCAGCAGTAAATAATCCCCACTGAGTCATCTCCTCCAGCACTGGCTCTGCCTGTCAGAGAGGCATCTGTGCAGGCTCCCCTGGCAGGTGCCATGCTGTGGTCAGCCCCACCATGGGCAGCAGCTTGAAGCACCATGCTGAGTTCTGTCTGCTGGGGGCACAGAGCTGGTAGTGGGGGCACAGGAGCGACTGGGGAGGAGAGGGCTGAGCCATGCTCTCGTGATGCACTGCCTACAGCTGGATGGATGTATCCCTGGCACACTGCATTACCGGGACCCTGTAACTTCCCCTGCACTCCCTGTTTCAGTTTGGTCATGTTGCTAAAGATCAAGCTATGCATGGACAGTAGAAATGTGCACTCAGAAAGAAGCGATGGTATTAGCAATTATTTTCCCCAAATCCTTTAAATTTTGTCACAAATCCTTACTAGCATGAATCTGAACTCACTTTTTTAATAGGGCAACTTAATGCTGTTTTAGGACAATAATACATGTATCTCCTTCTCTCGGATCCCCCCTCCTTTGTGTACTACTTCTCCAATATTCATTTTAAGCATCAAGTTTATTGCTGAAAATGATGACATTAAAATCTGCTAGCAGTCTTCAAAGCCAAACTCCGTTCACTTATTTTACACTATGATGTTAAAAAATACTGGTGTAACATTCCAGGGAATTGCAGTCCATATGTAATATTTTCCTTTAATCTCTCTGGCACTTGCAGAAATTATGAAGAACATCTCCTCACAATTGCTTTTTAGTAAAGCTTGAAACTAATCTATTGTCCATAAGTTCATGATGCATGTGTTTTCTAAGGGCAGCCGCACAGCCAGTCCAGATAGTTTCATTTGTCAAGTGTCTCAGTCATATTAATTCCAGGATTTACAATTAGACCACACCACATCAAAAGGCCTCCCTCCCTTCTCTCACCTCTCTTATTTCAAAAACAACTCCAAAAGAATCTGACAACAACAAATTAAGCCCTGGTGTCTCTGCAGCAGTAGAATTATCTGCTTTAACAACCTCCAGGAGCACCCAGTGAGCTGCAAGTGCTTTTTGCTGTGTCTCAAAAACACACCCACTGACAACAAAGCTGGGAGCATTACCAGATTCTAAGTATTCTCTGAAATCTCTGCTGAGGGAGTATTCTGTTTTCACCCTACGAGTTCATTAAATGGAACAACTTCATAATGATTCTGCAGCACTAATAACAACAAAAGCCACTAACCTCTTCACATCATCACAGCTACCGTTTTAAAGCTGTGCTCATGTAAATTAAACAATCCTTTAAAAAAAACAACAAAACAACAAACCCCACAGAACAGTCCGGCAACACACTCAGACCGCAGAGGCTGTGCTGACTGAGATACACCATCTGTCACAGATCAGTATTTTTTATCAGTGGTAGTAGTTTTTAACGCGACCTGGTTAGCTGTTGCATGTGATGCTACATGGAAATAATACCTAAGTCATGGAGTCACAACAGACCAAACAGAAGTGGCATTTGGAAAGGAAAGTAACGCATGAAGTATGCATAATGGAAACCCATCGCTGCTTTAAGATCTCCAGAAATCTCTACTATTTGAAGATGAAAGTAATAACATTAAATTGGCTGAAAGGAAAATTACTATTGACTGTGAAGACAGGTTGCATGGTCTATGGTTTGTAATGTTACTGTACAGCAGATTGAAGTTTCAAAATAGTATTACTCTTCTTTAAAGAGATAGACACAGCTAAATTAGGTGCTGCTTGCTGCAGTGAGGATCAAATGCAAAAAGAATCATATTTCATCAGACCTAGTCAACACCAGGAAAATAAATAGAAATATAAGAGGTATGCAGGCAATGATTCATTTTGATAATCTGGCCCAAGAGAGACACATAGAGACAGCACACAGATCTAAGCTTCCACCAAAAGACAAATAGGACACAGAGGGTGGGAATTGGGATGACAGTGTAGCAGAGGTCACATCGATTTTCAGCAGCAGTTTTCACACAGATGAGATAACCCTGGACTCTATTTGGCCCATTGTTCATATCCTACCTGTCCCACAAGCAATAAATTTCCAAGTCCCAGAAAAAGGGCAGTAAAGAAGAAGGATTCTACTTACGACTTCTTATGATTAAGTTTTTGTGCTAACCAAACATGCTTTGCAGACCAAGGTCACATTGCATGTTAAAGTCTGTAATAGCTGAAAACTAGAAGAAGCATATTATGTTTTAGCGTATATGGGTGGAAACTGTCAAACCATTCATCTTTTTTTTTTTTCTGATTGAAATCACACTCTGCAAAGATGAATGATAAATGCATTAGAAATCTATTTCAATCTTGTAATAGGTCTTCACATCTGAATGGTGTCTACATCGTGCCCACATTTTGAGTAAGTGCACAGTTAGGCAGAAATATATTAGCTAGGCTTAAGAAATTCTAATTGGGAAAGCAATTAAAAATGGCACGTGTTGGAAGCATTTTTGAGGACTGCATCAAGTACATCTTTTCAGCAGAAAAAGAAGATGTTGATTTTAGCGTTTTGATTTTAAAGAACACTAAAGATACAAATGCTAAAAGCAGCACCCACACACAGTACAACAGAATAAACAAGAAATAAAGCTAGGGCAAATACTGGCTTACCAAGGACACAAACAACCTTCCTATTTATTGAAGCAAAGTGGGAACTACTTTTATTGAGCTTGTTTGTTAAACCTGCCATGCTGTATAATAGCATTCAGGAATCCATTTAGAGTGCACTCTTTTTATTTTAATTTCTTGCTGGCATCCAGGTGAATAGACGAAAGCAAGAATTATATTGCAGAGCAAAGAAATACACAGTAAATACTAACAGTGAATGGAATTATTATCCCAGGAAAGTGCACGGAAAAGTGCTAGAAAGTTTCCTGTTGTTAATGCAATATACCAAAGTATTTCATCTTCCATCTTCTGCCTAAGTTGCAGAAATCAGGATTGGAAAATTAAGCATCATCCTATGGACTAAATGCAGCACTGGGAACACGAGTAACACAAATTGCTCCCTGCGTGACTCTGCACAGCCCTAACCAACAGGCAATTTTATTTACCAGCTGGTTTATGTTCTTCCAAAAGACATGCTTTTAAATCCATCATTCATATACCTGATACACTTGACATGTCACATCCCTCTCAAAACAAGCTAGAAATATTAAAGCTGAAATTTACATATTACTAAACACTAGTTAGATCATCATGTTATTTTTTCACATGCATTTCAAAACACATTTGTCTGGAGGCTTTACACGTAAGCCTCACCAAAATTAGTTTACAGAACGTAAGATATAATGTATAAAATAAATATATGATAAGGAAAAAAGCATAACGAAATTCGTAAGAAATTTATAGTTATTAATCTGTTCGTTACTCATCACAACATTTGATCTCAGAAAACCTTCAGCCAGCATTAATAATATGGTTTTGGACATAGATGGTACTGGGATCATTCTAGATCTCTGCCTGTGGCACACAATTTAGAAAGATAAGGACTAAAAGGGTTCATCATAATTACAATTCTTGAAGCTTCATATTTGAGTGATGGGGATTATATTAAATGATCCACGGTTAGAAAAGAACAGCCTAGGTGCTCCAGTGGACTGTTTTAACCTTTAATAAAATACAAAGGTATCCTCAACACCAGCTGAGTTGTATGTGCATCTTTCATAGTAAGACCTTACATTTCTATTTGAAATGGCATTATTTGCCCAAAGTTCTTACAGAATTATCCAATTGATAACCCTTGAATTCCAGTTGTATATCTACTTCACAAAGACAATGACAGAAGAATTAGGGCTCAGATAACGATTTTTGATGGCAAGAAGCAGTTCTCCAAAAAAAAAAGAGACTTTTTTATTTTAAACTCTGGCTGCTTTTACACTGCTTACCAAGAAACTAGAATAACTGTTTTCTTTTGCAGAAAGGCAAGTATTTAAAACTATTTAAAGCCTGATAATCTGTGAGTCTGTGGGACAGGACTGACAGTCTTCAATGCCTTAATCCCTCTGAATTCCTCCATAGAGCTCTGTGTGCCTTTCTCTCCCTCACTGCCTGCTCCTCTCCTGGGGGCTGAGCCCTCCTCTTCATTGCTGAGAAGAGAGACCTCCTTCTAACTTGGCACCCATCAGACTTCGACATTTACTGCTTTAACCTTGTGATTCAGGTGCCAAATTTGAAGTCGTTGCTGTTTTTCTTAATTACAGCCCTTGTATGAACAGGGTCAATGAATGCAACTGGGAGATTCTGACTGCTGCATTGCGCTAGCTTTAAATCAGACTACTTCATTTTCCAGTGTTTGATACAACTAAATAGCATACAAGCAATTGTCACTACAGAGCTTTGCTGTAAAGAAACTTCCCTTTAAAAATACTGTCTAATCACTATACATGCATTTCCAGACTGCCTTAAAAGCTTTCAGAAACTCACAAAACAGTAACGCCAAATGCCCTCTGCTTCACAGTACCTGCTTCCCAGCTGGTTCTCACCCATGCAATCTGAAATCAATTGATTCTGTCCTGAAGCGTTTAGTAAAGCCTGCCCATCGTTTTCAACATTGGA